CATGACACTTTGAAAGACTGATATAGTATTTTCTTGTGAAACTCACTCGAATAATCTTTGATAAATATATTTTTTACAGTGTATGTATATGAAACTTACTTTCCTTGTTCTGATTGGTCAGTTTCGCAGGTGTATGTTACAGATGCTGTGTTCTCGTCTGGCCAGTGTGCAGCACAGCATTAAGGACCGTCCCCTGGCCCGCATCGAACATCCTGTACGGCCCATTGTGATGTCACAGAGCCGCCCCAACCGGCCCAAAAAGAGAGTGACCTTCAGCTCTTCCTCCATCGTATTCATCATCGCTAACAATGACACTCTGGATATTACCTCCAAATGCAATCACGAACCAGACATCAACGTAATTCAAGTTCGACCGCTTTGACACTTGCCGTAGTGACATAAAAGAACTACACGAGTTCATTAACATCACACTAATTTAATGTTTATAATACAGGCTACAGGAGATACAGAAACATCTCTTTTTTTATAAATATGGAAACACGGATTTCTTTATTGTTGCAACATAAACGGACTTTTTTTGTGTTCCCAATCAAGACTTGTGTGAATTATATCAATTGTAACTATTTTATGAAAATGACTTGGAGTTATGATTTTCTCCATCTTTTCAGACACTGAAACTTCCACCTTCACCCAGTTTCGTGAGCTGGTGAGATATCCGCAGCTTAGATTGAACAGTCCGTGAGCAGAATACAATAGTGAGTGTGCTCAGATAGATTAGGAACACAGTGTTAGTACAAGGACTCTTCTAGGACGGGACATTTGTCAAAACTGCAGCACCTCATACATAATGTCAGTGAGGTCTACAGCGCCCCCTGGAGGAAGCAAAGTGTGTGTCCTGTTTGAAAAACACAAGCCAAACATCACTATTTCTACTGGTCAATTTTTGGATTAGGGCTTGAACAAACCGCTAAATATTAAACTTTGGTGAGTTTACCTCAAATCGCGTTATTCTTGAGAAGAACCGTGTTTTCCCTTTTCTATTAGAGCGAATATAGGCTACTTAAAAAAAATTCCCCTGACGGGTGATGCACACTCTAAAAAACACTGGGTTAAGAACAACCCAATTTGGGTTATTTTTAACCTAAGGGCTGGGGAAATGTGGGACAGGACACATTTTGGGTTAATTTTACCCAGCAAATTGGGTTGTTTATTTATAATGGTTTGATTCATTTTTACTAAAATACTAGTTTATTTTTTTACTTCATACATGAATTAATGTTTACAGTTTAAAACTGCAGCACCTCATACATAATGTCAGTGAGGTCTACAGCGCCCCCTGGAGGAAGCAAAGTGTGTGTCCTGTTTGAAAAACACAAGCCAAACATCACTATTTCTACTGGTCAATTTTTGGATTAGGGCCTGAACAAACCGCTAAATATTAAACTTTGGTGAGTTTACCTCAAATCGCGTTATTCTTGAGAAGAACCGTGTTTTCCCTTTTCTATTAGAGCGAATATAGGCTACTTAAAAAAAATTCCCCTGATGGGTGATGCACACTCTAAAAAACACTGGGTTAAAAACAACCCAATTTGGGTTATTTTTAACCTAAGGGCTGGGGAAATGTGGGACAGGACACATTTTGGGTTAATTTTACCCAGCAAATTGGGTTGTTTATTTATAATGGTTTGATTCATTTTTACTAAAATACTAGTTTATTTTTTTACTTCATACATGAATTAATGTTTACAGTTTAACTTAAATCCTCTAAACGTTTGTAAAATAGGCCTAACGTTACTCCATACAACCACTGATTTGCATGATAACTTTATTTTCAATTATTTACAGCATAGCATGTTTTACATCGTTTTTAACACGACGTAGGCCATATTGCCTATATTTAAACTCGTTTAACAAACATTAAAAGTAAAAATTAAACATTAAACAGATTCACGTGTAATCGACCAGTCTGTTATCCCGTTTCCACCGGAACGGCGCTGGTTCTTGTGTCCGAGCAGGAATCGCGTTCGGTGGGGAACTGCTAACTTCAGACCGCCGCCCATAAGTAAACACCTAGCAACCACTCAGAACACCCTGGCAACCGCATTATAACACCTCGGAAACCACCCAGAATAGAAGTCTTTAGAAGACAAAAAAAACTCATATAGAAATGTATGGTAAGGTGCGATTACATTGGCAAAATTTCGCGGCCAAAAATGCTTAGATGTGGAGCAGAGTTCACACACAAGACGCTTTCACACCAAACGGATTTAAAGGGGTCATATGATGTTGCTAAAAAGAACATTATTTTGTGTATTTGGTGTAATGAAATGTGTTTATGCAGTTTAAGGTTCAAAAAACACATTATTTTCCACATACTGTACATTATTGTTTCTCCTCTATGCCCCGCCTTTCTGAAACGCGTCGATTTTTACAAAGCGTGTCACGGAAATGTTACGCCTTACCATACATACCATGTCCAGGCCGGAGCAACGAGACAAAAACATTAAAACCCATTATAAACGAGGCGTTTGTTGCATCCAGTGGGGACATAATTACTGATTATAATGACTTATACTGTCTTTTTACGCGTTGCGTTGCATCGTGCCGCATAAACATAAAACCATGTCTGCATTTGTGATCGGAGAAATGACAAACAACAAGCGCTACTGTACACTGCTCAAAACTCGCGTTTGAATCGTCAGTGGCAAATCCTTTAAATATGAAAACTTACTTACAGTCTGTGAGTCAGAACAGCCGGCATTGTAGTCTACTCTGCCAGGAAACAGTCCTCCATAAAATGCCTGCACACATCTGAATATTTGGGTTGAACTGTTGTAAATACAACTTAACCACTGATTTCTAGTCGTGTCCTCTTTTGGAAGGCCAAACAAAGTAGTTTCGCTTTCACAATGAAACACACAGCGTCACACACGGCGGATAGAGTGAGAGGTGGCGGGCGGGCTTGAGAACGGCGCGGCCGGCGGAGTCGAAGAAGGAGCGTCCGGCGGGCTTGCGGCAACCACATGTGACGACCCCGGGCTGGACTCAGCTTCGTCCACGGTGAAAGCCGATCCGGCGATCCACAGCGCAAACTTGTTGTATTACCTCAGCAACCAGCATGGATCAGCTCTAGA